TAAAGAAATGCCTTTAATAAGAGTCGGTTGAGGACCTAAAATTCTTATGCATTCACTCTCTTTCATAAGGCGGGTTCAGACGCAGCCAGTAGTTTAGTCAAGTGGTCGAGTAATTTAGTGACTTGACCCATTTGAACACATTTTGTTTTAGTCGAGCTCACTGGCAGTCGAGTACACGGTCGAGTTTAGTAAATAGAACTCTATTCTATTTTCTTGGTCGAGTAGCAGCCCCCACCACACAGAAAAGCCGATTAGCGCGCAGATTAGACACGATTATACACTGGCTTTGTGTAGACCCTTTTTTTACTCGACTTTACTCATTTACTTGACTCGTGTGAACAGAAAACACACTTGACTAAATAACTTTACTCTACTAAACTACTGGCTGCGTCTGAACCCGCCTATACATTCGCGGTTTGTTGTTGCGTTGTTGTCCGTTGCTCAGTGCGTGCTTATCCGGACCCCTCTGACGGTGACCAGGGCTGGAACTCTGTGTCATGTAGAATTCTACTTATCGCTTTCTACAATAGATTCTTTTGTGGCACTCTGTGTAACATAGCGGAAAACCAACGAGTATATACTTACTACAGGATAACTAGTTTCATAAGAAACCACATTGCGATATTTCCCATGCGGTTGATAACGTATTTATCACAAAAGAAAGTAATCGATTCCATTGTAGAAAGCGATAAGTAGAATTCTACATGACACAGAGTTCCAGCCCAGATGAGCCAACAGTGTGCAACGTGTGTCGTCATTTGTCTGTTTGTTCACGTTTGTTTCCTACCGAAGAGTATACCCTTTTCCGAGTCCCAGTAATGGGACTCTCAAAGGGAAGAAACTTGCAGGAGGTGGAAGTCTTCTCTGTATGTGATGGTACCTAAAACGCACATAAATACACCTTATATGGTTCTGGGTACGATTTTCTCCGAATGACTGAACTAAAAAACTATTATATGTATTTTTTGGTTTTGTTTTTTTGTATTTTTTTTTGTTTTCGTGTTTTTTGAATTTTTTTTTGTTTTTGTATTTTTTTTTGTTAGGCCTACTTACTTAAAATCTAGCGCTTTCCCACAGAATTATTTTAGTTGTCGTCGTTTGCGTACTCCAGTTTTCTGGGTCGCGCATGTCTCCTGTAGTCTGCTCGTTCGTAGTTTGTCTGGTCCCTCAGCTCGCGGTTAGGGTGTTGTAGATCTCTAAAAATATGTTTGGGATCAAGTATTTCTGCTTCTTTATATAATTGGTCAGATGGGTAAGTGCGTTCTTTTTTTAATATAATTTTTAAAAAATATTTTTGTATTACTTCGACTTTGTCCATAAACACATTTGAGGCTCCACCCCATCCTAATATTCCATACGTTATTCTAGAATGAACTAAAGCGTAGTACAACATTTTTAGGTAAGGTAATTCTAGTATTTTGGAAAGATATTTAAACTTAAATAATAGGGTTCTTAGTATATTTACAATGTTATTTATGTTATGATTCCAACGCAAATGACTATCAATAATTATTCCTAAATATTTCGTTTTATTTGATGAACTTATAGTTAAAGGCACCTGATTATTGCTGATGATTACTAAGTTGTTATATTCCGGTAGATTATTTTCATAGCTAACTATTGGTAAAAAGAATGTTTTAGAGAAATTAATTGTTAAGAGTTTATGATTAAACCAGTCGAATATGTATTTTAAATCATTTTCAACAATTACTTTTAATTCTTTCCAACTATCAGCAGAATAGAAAATAACCGTGTCATCAGCAAAACTAATTATCCGACCCTGATGATTTATTAATAGTAAGTTATTGATATATAAATTAAATAAAATAGGACCAAGTACTGTACCTTGTGGTACACCGCATTTTATTTGTTGGTAAGTGCTATTCGTATTATCTATTCTTACACTTTGTTGTCTATTAAACAAATACCTTTTAAACAAATTGTAAGCATTGCCTCTTATTCCTGCATCTTGCAGGGCTTCCAATAACTGTTGGTGATCAACAGTGTCGAAAGCCTTTGCAAGATCCAGAAACACTGCCAGAGATGGTTTACTTTTATCCAGAGCTAATACATTTCTTTCGTTAGTTCGGCAATAGCATCCTCCGTAGATTTACTTTTTTGAAATCCAAATTGTTTCGGTGAAATTGTATTGTTTTTATCAAAAAATGATTCTAATCGTGACTTAATTATTTTTTCAAATATTTTTGTAAAGGTCGTAGTTATCGATATGTGTCTATAATTTGATGGTGTGCATTTGTCACCGTTTTTATGTAACGGTTTAATTGTTGCAATTTTAAATTGATTTGGACAAATGCCTTTTTCGATAGATAGGTTAATTAAGTAAGTTAGCGGGGATACTATTTCCGAATCAATTTGTTTAATTGTTTCTGCGGTTAGGTCGTCAATACCTGGTGCTTTTTTATTTTTTTATTTTTTAATTATTTCTAATATTTCCTTTTCATTTGAAGGATTCAAGAATATTGAATTTGAACATACAAATCTCATTGGACGAAGCGTATTTGGCAAGATTATTTGACTAGCTAAATTAATTCCTACATTGGAAAAAAACGTATTAAATATTTCTACTATTTCAGATTTATCACTGGTTTTTTCATTATTTTGATTATATAACGCTTTAAATTCTTGTTTTTTGGGGTTTTTGCCACATATTTTGTTTATAGTTTTCCATAAATTACTGGGATTATCTTTATTATCTTTTATCATTTTTTTGTGAAATTCTATTTTTGATTTTTTAATTATTGTACCTAATTTATTTCTATAATTAATAAATGTTTATTTTGATTGTTCATCTTTATTTTTTTGATAGGTTTTGTAGAGTTTATCTCTATGTAGGATTGAAGTTATTATTCCCGAAGTAATCCAATTTTTTTTCTTATTTGTTTTTTGTTTATCTTTAATCGAGTTGTATGTGTTTTTAGGAGATCTGTTATATGAGTAAGAAAATAATCCCATGATTGTTGAACTTCAGTTATACAATACAATCCGGCCCAACTAAAATGTATTAAATTATTTTTGAAATTTTTGTAATTAATCACATCTCTATAATTATCATTTTTTGTTTCCGTGTTTGAAGTTAATGGCATCAAAAACTTTAGTATACAACTGCGATGGTCATTGATATTACTGTCTAAAACGTAAGCTTCACAGATTTCTTCTAAATTTCGATTTTTGACCTTTACAAATGCATGATCTATACATGTTTTGGATGGCACCCTTGTATATTTATTTATCGTTGAAGTAAAACCATATTCACTCAACATATTTAAGTATTCCGTTGTTACTCTGTCTTGTAAAAAAATATTAATGTTTATATCGCCTATAATGATATTTAAGTCGTAATTATCGTTTGATGTTTCTAAAAAGTCGTACAGTTCCCTAACAAAATTTTCTTCATTTGTGGATGGTGATCTATAAATGCATAAGATTAGCATTTTATACTTATCATTGATAACTTCAATAACTATTACCGTACTCTGATCAATTTGTTTTATTTCAAAATTGTACATAATAGATTCTTTTAAATAGACAATAGTGCCATCCGATTTATTAAAATCAGCATTATTGTAAATCATATTGTAACCTTCTAATTTCATGCTTTGAGTAATCTGAACATTAATAAATTCTGCGAGTTCTTTGGATGGGCACAGTGAATACGTACAAGTTTTGTACTGTTCGAGAGTGATCGTGTCTTCCAATTTTTCTTGAAGCTTCTTTTCAAGATTGTTACATTTATTAATAAGGACCTGGTTGTCTCTTTTCAACGCTTTGTTCTCAAATTTCAGGGCATTGTTGATCTCCCTTAGTTTTTCCTTTCTTGGGCTTCGAAAAGTTAGTTCCTCTGATGTTTGGACACTCCGTGAAGGAAAACGAATTGGAGACCGCTGAATCAATTCTGCCTTATCGGAAGAGTTGCCAATCCAATGGTTGAAGCTGATTATTTCAAAAGCTGATATAAAATACTCGTACATGGCACTTGAGAGGTTTCAGTGCTAGAAGTCGATGTACTTGGAACTGCCTCGTCAATGATGCCACTTGAAACGAATTTGAGTGGAACAGCATCTTTTCGCAGTATTCTTATGTAATGGCTATTAATACATGATCGTTGCATAATATACTATTATTAAGATATACCCTAAGTACTGTGGGGCAACCCACCCTCCCTCAGATTAAAGATACAGAAAATATTCCGAAGTAATAGCTAATTTAAAACACCCTCTATTTGACTTATATATTATACTTTATTTATATTACCTTTCAACATCTTGAGGAAATCTGTAAAATGAATGTGCACCGATATAAGATTTATTTTTGCAGTCTTTATAACTATAAACAAATCCAGCTTTTTTGTCTTCTTCCATAACTCACACTGTCATTAAAGCACAACAAAATCAGAAAATAGTCAACGATAAAAATATTTAAGCAAAATAACAGAAACAACAGAATAATAATAATTATAAATTCACGGTTTCGATACCACCGCCCGTGCCGGTCGCTATTGCACTGAAAATTTCGGTGTAGAATATCGGTGTAGGTCAGGAGCCCTTGAAGATCACGTGATCGGAGATATCCTTCTGGTTATTATTTATTCTTGTGGTAAATGTAAGAAATTTAGCGAAAATCACAACGTCGATATCTTTTTCTATTAATTCATAGTGGGACACCCTGTATTTATAAATTCTAATCTACTATAAGCCCGTGTCAAATTTTGTTTATTTAACAAAATCTTGGTAGATCAATTTGAAAAATATATAAAGACGTTTTTGATTTATGGTAAATTTTGATTCAAAATATTTAACACCCTGTATCTTGGTAACTAAGTTTTTTAAGGGTTTATGTTCCAATATCAAAATTTATCAATTAACGAGTGCCCTTTGGGAGAGCGTTGTCGGTTGAATAATATACGAACTCCCTGTATATATTCATAGTAATCTGTAATATGTGTTGCATAACTTGCACGTAGGTTTGATTTTGAGTAGTTCATTTGTATTGTTTTCACTTTTGTTGTCTCTTGATCTCTAACCTTAAAAATCGTACACCGTTTAAATCACAACAAAAGTTATCTTCAAGAAGAACAATTTATAAAATTAGCTACAAGGTACGAATTCTGTGCATATCGATCTGTTTATTACGAGTAAAGGATATTTGTGCACTCTTCAAACAGGTAATATTAGTCAATAGATATTTTTTTTTATAATTAACATACAAATTAAAATTATTCAAGTGGCCCCAATTTTATTTGAATGTACTAGGATTTAATAGAAAGTTGTATGTATTTATATGAATACAAATTAATTTTTCCAAAAATAAAATAGGTTCATTAATTATTTTAAATAGGTACCTATGCATGTTACCTAAAGAATTACATTTTTTTACTTATTGTATTTTACCATGATCGTGATTTTTTATACATTAATATAATTTTTAATATTCATCCTTAATCCGATAAGTAATTAGTAGAAAATTAACTTTTTATCATTACTTTTAATTATAAAAACAATATCAAGGTAAAAGTGCACAATTTGGTTTATTTTTTCCAGAAACATTTTACTTAGTTACTCAATATGAAGACTGTTACAATGGTAGCTCCTGTGAATATAGCTGTAATAAAATATTGTAAGTGTTGTGCAGAGATTTTTTTTAACATTTTTGCTATTTTCACCATTTATGTTCAAAATTTCGTCATAGTTTTTTAGGTATATAATTTTTATGTTTGCTTCCATTCCTTCATTGAAAAAACTGCTACAATAGCGCAAGTTTGAGCCTACTAATACAATATAGTTAAAAATTCCAAATGTATAATAAGTAATCCATAATTTTTAACTGACTTCAAAAAAGGAGGAGGTTCTCAATTCCTTGCAATATTTTTTTTTATATATGTTCAGCGATAATTCTTTAACACGGTCTCCGATTTCAATGATTCTTTTTTGTTAGAAAGAGGGTACTTCATAAATTTGGTCTAAATCTAATAATTGGGTCCATGAGAAAACCCTCAAACTCTTCATTTTTTATGTATGTTTAGCGATAAATCTTTACCACCTTGTCCGATTTATATGATTCGTTTTTTGTTAGTAAGGGGGTACCTCAGGGGTGGTCCCATATAAATTTGGTTAAGATGTGATGGCATCTGCACGTTTTTGAAGTCGGTTTTTTTAATTTGTAATACTTTTTATTACTTTCATCTAAAAATATTGCATCATACAGGTTGTTTCCAAGATTTGCCAAATTTAAATCATTTGATTCATTTAAATCAAGTGATTTTTTTATTTTAATCACAATTTTTTGATCTTTATTAATTTTTTTTCAAACCCTGTGTTCGACTATTGTGCTGTTGGTCAAATGACACCACTAATCATCATATTTGTTTAGCTGTTCTACACACCTCTAATTTTAGTGATTTAATAATAATAATAATAATAAAACATCTTTATTTTAATAAGCTTTAATAAGCCCAGCATAGCTGTTCCACTCAACCGAGTACCAAATACAAACATTTCATATAATACAAATATACACATTGTTATTTAGATTTAAATTATTTAATATACATTTTATATAATAATAATAGTTTATTTGTCCTTTAGGATCATGTTACATGATATAGGAAAAGTCATAATTATATATGAATAAAAAATATTAAAACACAAATAAATATAGGTACAGTATACAAAAAAATATATATCTAAGACATGCACATTAAAAATATACAATTAGAAAAAACATTCACCTTAAAATACGGTGGTATTCAGATAAATTATAAAAACATGAATCTACTAAATAGTTTTTAAGTTTTCTTTTAAAAGGTTCATATTTCTTTTCAGATTTAATGAAATCAGGGAGTTGATTAAAAAATTTAATTCCAACAAATTCAGGCGATTTCTTAAATAATGCCCTTGAATGTCTTGGTGTTCTGAATAAACTTGCATTCCTAGTTGAGTATTCATGGTAATTTGAATTTTGTAAAAATTGGTGTATGTTGCGTTTAGCATATAGCAACGTTTTACAAATGTCAATACAGTGAAATGTTAATATTTAAAAATGTTTGAAGTTTTATTTACAAGTTTTCATTAATTCTAGATTAAAAATAAGCCGCGTTATTCTTTTCTGTAAGATAAATACTTTAGATGCACTGACTGCATCACCCCAAAGAATAATGTTGTATGATATATGAGAATAGTAGACATTAAGCAGTTGCTCTTGGGAAAATATTGATTTTAATTTTAGTATTGCATAGTATGCGCTGTTTAATTTTTTACAAACATTAGATATTTGGCTATCCCAACCCATATTGCTACAATATGTATGCCCAAAAATTTTGTAACATCTGACAGCATAATTTCTGCATTATTGACATTTATTTTACAATTCTGGGTAATTTGATTTCTGTAGTAGAACTGAAGGCAAAAGGTTTTGTTTGAATTAACAATTAAAGAATTTCTATAACACCATGATGTAAACTCATTAGATAAAACATTTAATTTACTAATTAATTAATCTACTGATTGTGCGTTGGTGGCAATTGTTGTGTCATCTGCATATAAAATTATGTTTTCTGAGTTAATATGATAAGGCATATCATTTATGTAGCATAGAAAAATTAGAGGTCCTAAAATTAATCCCTGAGGCACACCCATATTAACACTTTCTAGTTCAGATGTACAATTTCCGACTTTGACATAGATCTGTCTGTTATTTATATAAGATGACAACCAAGACAAAAAGTTACCTTCCAATTTTTGAATAGCGACATCTAAGTTGATTGAATCAAACGCCTTTGATAAATCAAAGAAAAGCGCACCCACAAACAACTTTTGATCGATAGAAGTATGTATGAAATATTGCTGCACTTTCAGTAGATTTTTCTGGAAGGAATCCATTTTGATTTTTGTATATTATTTCATATTTTTTAAGAAATATTAGCATTTTTTTATGGACACACTTTTCAAAGATTTTGCTTAAGATTGTAGTCACTGTAATAGGTCTATAATTATCAATTAAATTATTATCACCTTTTTTAAAGTTACATATCCTACTTTCAGATAATCTGAGAAAATACCTAGCTGAATAGACTGATTAAGTCTGCTAGAATTTGAAAGATGTGATGACTAATACGTCTTATTATCTTTGTGGAAATGCAGTCAATGCCCATAGAGTTAACATTTTTTAAAGAGTGAATAACTTCAATAATTACATCACGATGATCAACAGGAGAGAAGTAAAAGATCTGAGAGACACATGACGTAGTAAAATTTTTAAAATTCAAATCATTGAAATCAGAGCTGAGGTACTCAGTACAAAAATGTACTTGAAATAAATAATGAGTATTTTTTTTACTTAAAGTATTTATGAACTAATGATACTTTTGGAAATGCACTTATTACATTTGAAAAAAAGTACTTGTACTTGTACTTAAATTAACGCTTTTGTGGTAAGTATTACTTGTTACTTGAAAAATGTACTGGAAAATCAGAATCTACTTAAAGTATTTTCTGAAAATACTTAAGTAATTTTTAACAGTAAGTACTTAAATGGAAAATACTTAAAGTACTTTTGAAACTATTTTAAGTTTAAGAATACAATATTGTTAAACAGTTATTTATAAAGTATAACTGTATTTTACCGTCATCTGCCCCCATGGAACGATTATTTTCTTTCGCTAGAATAATTAATGCTCCTAGACGTCAGGCGTTAAGTGACACCAACTTTGAAAATTTGGTACTGCTCAAAAGTAACAAACACGTATTCTAGAAAACGTATTAGTTATTTATTTTGTTGTTTTTTTAAAGTATCCGATATCCTAATAATAATAATATGTATTTTGGTTAGGTACCTACTTTAAAATAATGTTATTCTTGAAAACCAATACCTATCTACTTGTGTTGTTATTCTCATACTCATATTCTCATGTTATGTGTTACGTTTATGACTTTGACTTCTTTATGTTACCCATTACAACGAATAAAAAAGATATTGAAACATGAATAGATGAGTATTTTATTTACTCGTATATGAGCAACAAACAATGATTCTTGTATGTCATGATCTCCATAATCATGATGATATGAAAACATCTGTCACGAGTTTATAGTCTAATACTATACTTTGTCCACGACCATTATGGTTTCTTTACTAATAAAAGTTAAGTGTAGAATGGAAAGTTTTTATTAAACATAGGTAACTAACTGTTGTTTTTTCCACTTTTAAATTTTTCGATTTTTCGACTTTTCCTATTTTGAGAGAGATCCATATTTGCTCAAGTTTTTCTTACAACAGAGCATTCGACAACAATACTTGCCTTTATGATTGATTTAATAAATATTCCTACACCTCCCCGTCTCTTATTATTACCCCTATTCAATTCTCGAAAATTCATAACCATTTACCTTAAGAGTCGGCTACCGCTTGGTTAATCGCCCTATCCTGCATAGGTGCCTGATTAATCTGTTTTCTCGAAAACTGTATAAGATATCATTGTCAATTAAAAACCTCCAATATGCAAAAGGTCAGGTCTTTCCTTGAGTAGTAATAAAAAATTAGATTAGAATTTTTTTAGTATCTTAAACGAGTCTGAAATTTTCCAATTAAATGGTTTTCTTTGTTAACATTTAAAAATTCATCCAGGACAAACTAAGACAAAATTAAAAAATCTATTATTACCCGAGGTAAAGTCTATTCTTTATCTTTTATTTGGTACAAAATTTGTCATAATTAGTCGAAATTTAAGAAAAATACTAGATTAATTGTCGACCTCTGCATAAAATTTAAATTTAACCGGCATCAATCATTCATTTCAGTTCTATTGTGTCCCTCCTTGTCTCTCTTGATACACGCTGGCGTTGCAGGACCGGAGTTCAGATTTATAAATAGTAAATAGTTATTCTAGTTTTTAATAAACAAATTGCCTTTTATACTATTTTGTGATGCTAAAACAAAATTGATTTTATGTAATTATTGTGGAATTCGTTCAAATTGTATTTTTGCCTATTGTTTTATCACAAAAATCGAGATATTTTTAGAATAGTTAACTAATAGCGTTTAGTTGAAATGCAGACTTGGCTCGCTACTTGAAATATACCATTTGAGTTCTCCCAATTAATACACATGAGAAAGAAGAAATAAGGCTGCGATTTTCCGTAAGTCATATGTACCCCCTCCCTAGATACACACGTGTCCCATTCAAGTATTGACTTGTTTTGAATGTACTCACAATGTACTCTCAGTTCGCTGTTGTTTAGTACATCTACGTACGGCATTTGAGACACAAGTGAAGGTAGTTTTTTATTGTTGTCACGGTGATTTTTGTAGTGTTAATTAGTGAAAAAGACAAGCAAAATATGGAAAGAGATCTCAGAATAAGTAAAAAAACAGGACTTTTTTTAAGTGCGAAGAGAAAGAAGCATAGAAATCTTGAAAAATATAATTTGTAAGTATCTGAGTACCAATTTATTTCCGCTTAGTTTGAATTAGTTTATTAAGAGTTATTTTGGTTTACAAACCTATATTGCGAAAAGAGAAAAAATTAAAAGTATTTTTGGCTTTACTCTGTGATTATAAAGAAACTAAATTTAAAAGCATTTTAATCCGACCAATTAATATCTGTATTCTAAGAGAAAATA